GCTATTTGTGTGATTGAATGTCTAAATCTATATTTTTAAAAATAAATCACCAATATGTATAACTGTCGAATAACTGCATCGAATTAGATACCTAATTATTTTTTTCGTGTTCGATACCGTTTACAACAAAGTTTGTATTAAAGTAAGATTCGATACATTCATCGGGAAATAGCACCCAGGCGAAGCTGGGGCGACTTGTAGTTCATAAATGCTAGATTACATTTTACAAAATCTTTTTTCCGTGGGGTTTTTCATGTCCTCTTTGAACTTTTATCAAAACATCATCATAATCAAATTCATAATAACATAACATTAAAGATTGTTATTAAAAACGTCTTTAATTGGTTGGGTTTTTATGATCTCTTTGAACTTCCATTTAATATATGTAACAAATCGAATAAACAAAGACGAAACATGTATGCAATACCTTACCTATATACCTTAGGTAATCATCATCATTATGGACAATTAATATTAGTAGGTACTGTGAGGTGGTCATAGGATGGTTCAAGAGATAACAATAAATTCTTGTTTAAATTTCTAAATACATTAATTTTACTGTCTGCCGTCGATCAGCCTGATCAATATTTGTATAAAATCATATAAAATCATAGTCTAATTTCTAAGGTAGAGGTTAGACTATAAATTATTACATGTCATATTAAGTGCTATGTATTCTAATACATAGCACTTAATATGACATGTAATAATTATCTAAATAACTATCTATAGTTAAATAAAAGTATTTAGAATGCTCAATGTCTAAACAAAATTTTTTTTACTGAGCAAGCTAAATGTAAATTGTATAAGTAGATTGAGATTTGAGCTATTCTTCATTCATGGCCATGATTTTAAGCAGACAGCAAGAGTTTCTCCAGCACTTATTATAACAGAATACAATCTTTTGTCAAAATAAATATTTTGACTCCAATTCCATGTACTTAGTTTTAGTATCAAAAAATATTACTATTTTAAATGCTAATATAGATATTTAACATAAAAATTAGAGCGTTAATTGTAAAGACGGGTTCGAAAGTTACGTTACTTTGGTTACCTACGTATTGTTTTGGGATTTTTTTTCACAATTCCACCCAATCTCAGTGTAACGTTGAGACTTGTATCCATAAACAACTGGCGGGATTTATGGAACAGCTTTCCTATGTCTGTCCTTAACGTTAGGACAGGGATTGAGGAAGCAACCGCCTTGACACCTAACACGCCGCAATCCAGCTTGTATGAGCAGGCGGACCTTTGGGGCCACGGGTGCATAGAGTGGGGACTTCAGGCGCCCATTCAGAGGCTTCAGGGAAGACGGTAGCACAGTGGTCACGTGCTGCCGTATAAAGCAATGATTAAGTGACACGCACGTTTCCCTAGGGATGTGCTGTAACAGGCGTTGCACCGTGGGGGCTCCGGAGCAGGTCTCTTCAGAGAACCCGGTACCCCTCACAGGTGCTGAGGGTGGCCACCGGGGTGGTTTTAATGAGGTACGAATCCCACACTCCCAAGTCTTTCTCCCCAAATAGCTAGGCGCCTTTTGAAGGTTTCCCTATCATCAAAAAAAAGGGTAGGGGTTGAGGATACCAAAGAGGGTAGGTGTCATCTTCGTATAGGTTAACTTATCAAGTTATCTGTAACGTTTTTGATTTAGTCAGTCACGATATCCTTTTCATAATCCTGATCGTCTTACTAGCTCTGATGAAACACTAAACTGGTTCCGTTCTTGTCTTCAGGGGCGTCAGCAGATCTGCAGTTCGCATCTGGCGTTTTTTCTGGGTGGGATTCTCTCTCCTCTCTTATTTTCTATCTTTATCAATTTAATTACTTCCGAAGGTCGGTGTGCGATCATCTGTAAGGAGAAGACTTACAGTTACATTGTCAGATTGCGGTTAGGATACGTAGATACCCAATGCTATGTAATATGCTTATAAAAATTATACTTATCTATTTATTACCTTCATTTACTTCTTTTATTTTCTTTTTAATTTTTTCTCTCCTGTAACTTTGTACCTTTGATTGACTGTCAGAGAATGCAAGCTTATGCCATTAAGTTTGTCAATTCAGTTTAGATAATTATATGCAATGCAATTAAAACAAAAAAATCAAGGCCACAGACAGAAGCAAGACGCAACATCTAAACATTCTAGACCAATTTGATTCCAGGAAGAAGTCAGACAAACTGACCTACATTATTAAAAAAAACTCGGTAAAGCTATCTATAGCATTCATAATCCAAATGATGGACGGCTTTCAAAGTGACTCAGCGAAACAAGTTGCTTTTTCATTCATACCAATATTTTAAAAGCATTGCAATTCTGTAGACGCGAGACATGAAGATTCAAAATGTAGGTCTGTCTAGGATAAAAAATATGCATAAATTAAAACTATATAATGTATATACATCTGGCTTGCACACATTTTCTTGCGTGAGCCTTCCTTTTTTGGATTAAAATAATAATTAAAAAAACATATAGGCATTGTAACTTACCTACTGAAAAAGAAAAAGAATTTCTAAGAATTTTTCATCTTCTTTATTTATCTTTGAAGCATAGATGAAACAAGTTTTCATTTAGTAACAAAAAAGGAACTTGATTTCTTGAATTTCTAATTACATATCAAGATAAACAAGTACGTACATTAAACGTATCGTCTACATTTATTACTAGCTTTTACCCGGGGCTTCGCTCGCGTCACAAAATAATAAAAAGTAGCCTATGTGACATATACCAATACACACAGCTCCATCTATACTAATACTTTTGTTTTCCCTCGGGAACATCAATTTTTCCGGGATAAAAAGTACCCTATTATTTAATCCGGACTTCTGCAAAAATTCAAAGCAATCAGTTAAGTAGTTACGGCGTGAAAGCGGAACAAACAAACAAACAAACTCACTTTCCGATTTATAATATTAGTAAGGATAAAAAGCTGAAAAGTTTGTCGGTTCGATGGTTGCAAAACCTACACTCAAAGCCAGAGTGTGATGTGTTTTCGAGTGAAAGAAGATTATTTTTGTCGGAATGCCTGAAGTTTTGCGAAAAAGATGGTTCAATGATAATAACTGAATAATGAAGTATTCAAAGTTTGTATTTTATTTCTTTCCTTTTAATTGTGTGTGTATTGAGTAGTGTAATTGGTATTTGTACCGTTCTATCCAAATAAATAATTTAAAAAATGACTTGTTTGTTTATTTGTTTGAACGCGGTAATCTTTGGAACTACTGATTTGTATTGAATAATACGTTAAGATAAATAGCAGTTGAACAACGAGTGAAACCACGCGGGAATAGGTACACGTGTTTGTAAGTATTCACATATTTATTCCAATTAAGTATTTAAATTATAAAGTTAGAGATATAGTTCATTGGTACTTTTATCCAATACCTGAATCCCCAACATACTTCATACTCCTAATCCCCAAAAGGTCGGTAACGCACTTGTAACGCCTCTGGCGTTCCAGTTGTCCATGGGCGACGCCGACTGCTTATCCCATAAAAAACATACAGTTCTGTATCCTTTTATTCCTTTTAACATTACCTTATTTATTTACCTAATCGTATTTAAAAATATTTGAATCAAAAGCCATGATTTATTATTACCTCTACATACTAACTACACACACTTTTCACTCTCACTGGACGTAATAGGTAGCCGCGCATTTTCGGCTAACTGGAAAAACTCGATTCATTAAACGCAAGTGAAACATCTTTTGCGCCTTTCTATCTTACACTGATATTATAAAAGTTGACGAGGCGCATTACATACGTCATAGTGCATTACACTTTTCTCACAATTAACTACAACCGATCGATGCACTTTTTGTTTTGGAAATTAGGTCGAGAAATATTGTCTTCCGCTTCATTGTTCTTACTTATGAAAAGTCGATAATATAAAGTATGTACCAATAAGGCTATAATAAGGCTATATACACGTAAGTTTGTTCGAATATCTGCCTTGCTAATAGCTTTTCCAATTTCTAGTAAAAGGGCGATAAAGACGTTGCTTTGAACTGCAATAGTTAGGCACCCATTTATTACACATTTTCATATCAATGGGTTCAAAAGAATATTTTTGAAGAGAAATGCAATTTTATAACATAAAAACTCTACTCTAGAAAGCATATACATAATAATTTAAAAGGAAAGCTCGGAATCTAGTAGATTTCAAATAGTACAATGGAATTATGGAACATATCCAAGTGAAATGCGATTACCACGGAGTGGACACCCCTAAGGTGCGCACGCGTCACGGCGGCGCTTAACGAACCATGCAGGTTGAACTACATTTCATGCGTTGTCTATTCATATGTGATGATAAACTATAGAAATTAAATTATATGTTTTAATACGGTACAAACAATATAATTTGATGTTTGCTTTGTTCACCATTTTGTTACGCGTACTGCATATGCGACTTTCATTGGGGTCCAATGGTTCTAGTGATCCAATCGATTTCGCCTGTCTACACTAGTTTCTATCATAGATCATAACAATAAGTAAAGTTATGAGAGTATTTTAATAAAATATTTAAAAAATTAAATGTGGAGAAAGTTTTAATCTGAAAATTTTAACGAATTCACACCAAATATATGTGCTTAATAGCTTTTTTAGTTTTTACTCCAAAAATAATTGCTGAAACTTAAACTGAAACTAGTTTAACTTTACATTTATTTTAATTCACATTTTTCAATTGTCTATAGACACAAATATAATTAGATTGTAACAATTAAAATATTCTAAATATTATTAATTGATTTAAAAAGCGATAAAATCACGTGAAGCAAAAAAAATAAGGAATATGAACTTATAGCCAGGAATCACCCGAACACCCGTACATAAATAAGTCAAGTGGGGACGGACGTAGTGACCTAGTGGTCGCGAGCGCATTGAAAGCGACATCGAGGCATAATAACAGTGGCAGGGAAGGTGGTCCGGCCAACTACGACGGCGGCCGCAGGACGTACAGTGCGCGCGCACCTCGCCATGCGCACACGCTCGACACATGGCGCGTCGCCTGGCGCTGCTGACGCTGCTGGCGTGCGCGGCGGCCGTCCGCCGCCCGCCGAGACACTCCGCAGACATCTCCGATTCCGAATCCCTAGACCCTTTTTCCGTGTGGGACGAATACGAAGACTCGTACGAAACCACCCCTGTGCCGCGAACGCGCACCACCACACTTAGTGCTAAAGTGTTGCTAAAGGGGAAAATCCCTAAAGTGAACGTGACTATGAAAAACACTAAAGGTGAAGAAAAAAAAGTAATCAAAACCACTAATATTAATATAGAAAGTCATACTAATTTTATAGTTACTAAACCACCGCAACTGAAGCCTGATTCAGCAACAAGGCTGCCGGTTCTTCAAATAGGAGACCAGTATGTATTGGTGGAATCACCTGACTTAGAAGAAGTATCTCGCACGACCACAAGACGTCCGGCGACGACACGGCGACCAGGCCGGCGACCGAGCACCACCCGACGACCATCGACTACGCCACGGCGCTCAACCACACGCCCCATGAGACGCACACCGAAGACAACAAAATCCCCTAAGTCTAAGAAAACGACTTGTCCTCCTAAATATTCAGGATGGTTGTCATCGTTTTTCGAAGAAAACAAATTAAAAAAGGTTCCCGAGAGACCAGGAAAAGCAGGTTGGTTATTAGGTAGGTCTATTTCTTTATTTTTTAATGTTGCGTTGAAACTGGTTTTACAGTAGGTAACTGACGATATATTTTGTAAAAAACATACTTCCTTATAAAACATTCTGGATGAGGTTTAGATGCATTGATACTGCGATGAAAGTGACCATACAAGTGATTGAAGTGATACATAATAATTGCTTATGTTTCGACCGGCAGTTACTAGAAAGAAACTTCTATGTACGTAATGATACCTAATGGTATTCAAAGCACTAACCATGACCATAAGCAGATGAAAAGGAGTTTCTAAATGTTGAACTTTATCCGAAAACATCATTATAAAGTCGCAGGCGCGACGAAGGGGAACTGATCGTAGTGGGTTTGTTATTACAGAAAAAAGCGGTTTAATATTTTTACTTGTGCTTTCTAATGCGTCGTTTCACGCTTTTAAATATACCCGTGTCATGTGTATAAGCCAACTAGAAATATCTTTTGTTGTGTATGTTTTACATACATAATCCTTACGTGTACCTACACTGAATTCGCTTATATAGGGAAATACGCTAGATGTGAACGACCAAATTTCCTCTCAAGTTGTAATAACCAAGAAGAAAAATGTGAGCTTGGAAAATGTAAACCTACTTACCTAAGCCGCTTAAATTGCGGCTTGATAATTTTATTTACATTACATCGTTATATGACTTTCCCCAATACATAGTTTATGTGCAACTTTCTTTCATGGCACTCTCTTGGGATAAAAGTAATTAATCTCGTAATTTGTGTATTACCTACATGAACTGTGCTCATCAATATTTGTAATGGTTACTTATATGATAGGACATGTCATTTACGAGCTATAACAATAATTCATTTACGATACGTATTTTCATAGTAGGTAAGATTGTACCTATGCCTTTTTTTTTTTTTTTTTAAGGGGGGAAAATCATCGAATGACTGCCCCCGCCTGGGTGAGGCGGGAGGGAGTGTCAGACTCTTACTGACTAAAAACCACCCCGTTCCTTCTCCTGCACGTCGAGCCGGAGCCCCGGTTACCCGTTAGGTTCTCCGCGACTCCGAATCGGCATCGGCCCTATTGGGCCCCATCTGTGGTGGTCTGATGGCTCTTTGAGGCGCGCGCGGAACGCGACGCGCCGTACGCTCGGGTGTACCTATGCCTAGTGTGTATTGGCTTACAATAAAACATATTTTCATAATTCGTTTACAAACTGCATAAGACAAATTATAAAGTAAATATAAAAGTGATTAGGTGGTGCCTATTAATTAAATTAATTAAGTCAATCAAAATAAAATTAAGAAGATTAAGAAAATAGAATTTCACTCGGATATTTGCCTACCACAAAGCTCCCACGGGAAGGAGAAGTTCCAAATATTTCTCAAGGTTTAAATAATAGACGGCTAAGGGTGAACGAGAACGTGGCAAATTACTCAAATGCGGGCAGCATTGCCATATTGGATGTTCATGTTTAACCTTTGTTATAAACACCGGGTCGCACATTGACCATGAAAAGAGACCAGGTATTTCAATATCTGAACACACAGACCCTATATTTCTCGACATCTTTGTCAACCCCAAGCCGGTCTAATTACCGTTGAGTCTATTAAACATTAATATTTGCACGATTTGATCATGATCAACCGTTGGTGATAGCCATTGCAGGCATTTATTATTTATCGTTTCTAAGGTTTCACATTTAATAAGAGCAAAGTAAAAATGTGCCAGTAAAATAAAGTAATAGTACGTGATGACTATATCTTAATTCTTAGCGCAAAAATCTAGAATTCTAGATTTTTAGTTTCATTTTTGGTCATAGTTTTTGGCAGTAATATTACAAAAGTTCTTTAGGTGAACATCTGCATCTATCTTTTAAAATATAGACGTGATTTTGGGTATTTTATGCATAAACCATTGAATAGATCCTAAACGTCGTATACTACGTAATTAAGCTTACCAAAAAAAACATCTCTAGTACAGAGTAATTTTCCATGAGTTAAACATAAAGAGATACACAACATTTAGTTTCTTGTTCCATATAGTTTTTGAGTGAACACAACCGGTTCCCGATTTACCAGATAGGTGTTTTTTTGTATTTTACAAAAATCTTAATTACCCAAAAACGAAGGTACATGATCATGCTCCAACTATTTACTGTTAGTCTAGTCTTCGAGACCGAATTGTTGTTGGGGCTTAAAGCACAGGAACACTTTTTTAACATAATTCTGTTGAGATTGTCGTACCCAGGAGACACTGAGTATTTTGTGTACGTACGATAATCCTTGTCCTACATTATAAAAATACGTTTTGTTATTCATAATTAGAGTAGGGTTATTCTTGGATAATCAAAGGAGCAATCAATGAATCAGATCCGATATTCAGTTAGAAAGCGTATCCGATTCTTATATCGATTTTATATCGATATGTCTCAAGCCAAATACAGCTGACCATCAAGTAAGCATGTTTTATATAATTCATAAAAAATGTGATAATAAATAACAGAACAAAAAAAATTCATTAACTACCACCTCGGATAAATCCGTATAAAAGTCCGTGTAAAATCTTAAATAGTATTCTATTTTAATTAAAATCTTTTCAGACTGCATGGTGATCGCTTTCTAATCTGCCACATTAAATATAATTATGATATCGAGGCCACTTGAAAATATTCATAAAAATACACATTATTATTTTTTATTATTAATTTGAATGCACCTTGATAGCAATTCCAAGTGCATTCGCACACAGTAGAAAATAAAAAAGCCAATTTTAATTTAATTTCCATGTCAGACTAATCTGTAAATCTAACTGTAACCTACATACCATACTGAAACTAAACCAAAACCATTTAGAAAATTGTGAAGTAGTATGAATAGTAGAATTTTGAAATAAAAATTCAGTAGCACTCAAACAAAATGCATTATCACTTAGCGCCGAGCGCGAATCGAGAAGATTAGACTATTTAATGACTTGAATGGCTTACAGAATAGTACTATCCCTAAGGCAAACTAGACTGTGCCTAGGGCGCCAGGTTACAGAGGGGCGCCTATAGGGTGGGGGTAGGTAGGGCAAAAATTAGGGGCACCTATGAGGTAGGGCAAAGAGCCCTTCTAGATTTGATCCGCTTCTGATGGCATACATAATAATATGTATGATGCAAGTATGTACACAAAACAAAATAAAGGCCACCATCGGTCATATATTTCTCTTAGAGTAAGTAAAGACTCTAACAATAATATAACACTAGACGTGTTATAGGCTCTATTCGCATCGCAAGTGCCACCTGACGAGAAATACCTCTTCGAGAGTCCTATGACGTGTTATTTTGATAATGAACTATGACATATGCGCTTTCGAAGTTTGCTTTTTGTAATGGTTCACCAGTTATTTTTTGCTTTAACATATAATTTCTTTTTAAAACTATTTTATAACCAAGACAGAACCATTTAACATCGGGACGAAAACGAAATATATATTACGATGTATATGACAAATCACAGCGAACTTTCCTGACAAAAGCTTAAAATATATTAGTTCAACAGTTATAGTAACTACCAAACTATTAACTAATTAATTCACATTATCAATGCATGACTAGGTTAAGAATTAGCTGATATTGAACTTATATCTTTTAAGCCTTTGTCAGATAGTTATAGTAACTACCAAACTATTAACTTATTAAGCAACTACTCATATAGTTGCTTGCTAGCAACTTGGATGGATCAGCTGAAAATGAAAAGTAACATTCTCTCAGAGAATCACAGAAAATAGTGACATCATGTTTCTACGTTTCCTTTAATTTGGCCATACATTTTGGGAGAATCAGTAAGTAAGTATTTTACGTAAAGAAACTGCGCTTGTCCATCCAGTTAGGGTGTGTAACCTAGAATGTGGTGTCGGCGTCACATGACACCTTTTTTGAAGTGTATTCTGTCTACCAATTCCTAATGACTGGTATTTATATCCTACTAGCTTTTACCCGCGGCTTCGCTCGCGTCACAAAAGGATAAAAAGTAGCCTATGTGACATATACCAATACATACAGCGCCATCTATACCAATACTTTTGTTTTCCCTCGGGAATATCAATTTTTTCGAGATAAAAAGTACCCTATTATTTAATCCAGACTAGTAACTTTACGTCTGCAAGAATTCAATGCAATCGGTTTAGTAGTTACGGCGTGAAGTCGGAACAAACAAACAAACTCACTTTCCGATTTATAATATTAGTAAGGATTTTTTACCCAACACGGGTGTACAACACTCAACATGTTGTTTAATTATTTTATTTTATCGACTGACCATGACACTGTGAACATATATCAGTATAATCATTTGTACATACATAATTTTAATCGCGAACACTATTGAGTAAAACTTTATTACAGTAAATATTTTTTTATTAATTTGTTAATCTGCTAGACTAAAAATCCACAAGTCAGATTAGTTAATTTACTTTAGTTTACTTTCACTTTAATGAGCATCTATAGCTTAGCTACGTGCAAACAGTCGTATAATAGTACCTATGCGGATCTAAGTGATGGATACAAAAAAGTATTTATTTATTATTTGTAAATCTCGCGAAAAGTTTATAATGTGGTTACATACAAATGTATCCACCACATTATAAGTGAAGTCCTTGTGGACGTTGAAACAACATCCTTGGGTACATATGTATATTGCAAGTTAAATAAAAACTTGTAATGAAAATTACCTGTATAATCTATCAATATATTTAAGTGTGGGAGCCATGCTTCGGCACGACTGCAGTGGTACCACGGCCTCACAGAAAACCAACGTGACCCCCCATTCCCCAAACTCCCCAATCCTTGAATCCCCAACGTTCCTCAAATTCCATATTCCGAAAAGGCTGGTAACGCACTTGTAACGCCTCTGATGTTCCAAGTGTACATGGGCGAAGTCGATTGCTTACCATCAGGTGATCAATTTGCTCGTTTACCAGTTTATTCCATAAAAAATCCAATGCCCTGACTTGGCCTGAGTACATTTTCATAATTTGTCTTTGAATTCAGACTAATTTTCCTGCATATGTATAAAATATAAAGTACCTATACAGATACTAATATTTCAGCCTGCCTACGGATCTCATGCTTAGCGGTCACTAAAGCATTTAGTCTCATGGAAAGGATTAAAATTGTGTTCATGAATATTCACTTACCTCCTTGATTCTTACACCTTCCATGGTACATTTTTGTCGGTTATTCAGCATATTGAATTTTCTTCAGGCACCACAGCATTGTTTAATCTTGTGGTGTCATTGAAAGTAATATTATTTTTGTTACCATATTAAAACTGGAAAAAAGTTTACTTAAATGTTATCGGAGTTTTAGTATTCTTCAGAGAAAGTAATAGTTTACCGAATATTTTCCGGCATTGCGGAAAACACAAAAGAACCTTCGTCCGGTTTTTAACCAATAATCGATTTGTGACTTTTGATCCCGAGTAACTTTTGATAATGATGAGGACTTTTTACATTCATTCTTTACAAGAACTTTATTTATAAAACTTTGTCCCACACTAGGATCTTCTCTAGTACCTGTGGGTGTGTTTGTAAACATTATAATTTTACATACACATGACACCCAGATCTGGAGCAATAATTTGTGGATAGGATCCACTGTTTTTGAAAGAGTTGATTCATTTATGAAGATACTACTAGAATAACTAAAGATAGTTCATTGGGTATTTTCCAGCTGGTTGGGAATTATTGCAACCTCGGATCATCACAATGCTTTTCTTATCAAGTTCACGTGTTTTGCTTACTATAAAACGAAGAATCAATTTACTTGTGACACCCGTAACGTTGATTTATTAAATGCAATCTTTTTCAATAAGTATTTTTTTTATTGATACACCTATTCCTTTTAGTTTTTAATTCACGATGCCAATTAAACTAATTCTTATTCTTATAAAAAAATATAGAATACATTCGCTTGTTTTAATATTTTTCTGCTCTAACCTGCCAGTAATATAATTAGGCAAATAAGTTTGTAATACTTTTTTACTTTCTTTTATTTCATGGAAGAACAATAATTTATCCTACACATAATATTACCAAAGTATGTAGATGCTATTACAATGGGCACCTACGGTATTACTAAGGTTAATTACGTAGGTCGCGGGGTCAGAGGAATTAGTTCAGTAATTTGCCAAAATGTTTAGACAAACAGTCATAACCACTGTCGCGCTGCTACTTCTATGGCTTGAAACTAGTCGACTTCCTCGTCCAATAATTACGTGAATAAACCGAAAAAGATAATAATTATTTAATATTTCTGACGAAATGTATACCATGAATATACGTTCAACGTCTTCATACTTATATAAGTCCTAAACTTTAGAAATGACGCTTTGCGTATTCCTGTTCAGTAAAAAGTTGATCCTTATTTCCAGGAACTCCTTGTCTATTTATATATATATGGAATGGTATGGTAAGTAGCAAGGGGAGAATAGAAAAGAAATCGGTTGTAACGAGTGTCAGTGCCGCAGTTCCGTATATAATATTTATTTTAATTGCATATAATCCATTCATTGTGAGACACGGACGGTTGAGTCATGCTAGAGTGTCTAAAGATAGTTATTAAGAGTATATTAACTTCAACGCGTATAATATTTACTTAAAACAGGTTTGACTAATAACAGGTTAATAACTAAATACTAAGTGGAACTTACAAGTACCCGTACATATAGCACCGCCGATAATAATTATAGATAAATAATAATTACATGGATTAATTACGAATGCAAACCTCTTTATAGTATAATCATTTGGATTTCGACTCCGACAGGAACCACTTTTTCATTTCCCATTCTTCAACAAGTTAACACTTAAACATAGATTAACTTATCACACTAATATTATAAAAATGTAAGTTTCTTTGTTTGGATGTTTGTCCGCCACCGCCAATCACGCTGTAACTACTAAATAGGTTTTGATAAAATTTGGTATTTTTTTTTTTTTTTTAAGGGGGGAAAATCATCGAATGACTGCCCCCGCCTGGGTGAGGCGGGAGGGAGTGTCAGACTCTTACTGACTAAAAACCACCCCGTTCCTTCTCCTGCACGTCGAGCCGGAGCCCCGGTTACCCGTTAGGTTCTCCGCGACAATTAGGTTCTCCGCGACTGATAAAATTTGGTATACAAGCAGGGTATGGGCTGACTTAGGTGATAGGATTTTTATCCCAAACTAGCTACTTCCGCGCGGTTTCACACTCTCTGCTCAGCCCCTATTGGTCGTACCGTGATGTTTTATAGCCTATAGCCATTCTCAATAAATGCCTTATAACGCGTTCAAAAAAATTCGTTCAAACAAACAAACTCTTCCGCTTTATATAATAGTATAAGATGCTCCCATGGAATAAAACAGGAATCATATTCTACGCGGACGAAGTCGCGGGCAACAGTTTGTTCCATTATATGTAACAAAAACAATTTTTCTAAACTGATTGATGGTCCCCAAGATCATCTGTCTGCCGATCGATCGTACACACCACATGTTTTTACATTCATATCAAGTGGAAGTCATAATCGGGAAAGTTGTTAATGATTACAAATGCATACGTAATAGTGTTTTCTCGTGTCAATAAACTCCACTCTATCATTCAGAGGCATTACGAACTTTTATACTATTTCTTATAGGCAATCATCTGGCCGATCGTTACAATTACCATCTATCTTAAAATAATAAAACCATAATACGATCAAAGGTTTCTCTTTGACTCTCTCAAAGTTATAATGACTTATATATAACAGTGTAATTCTGAGTGATGGCAATCAAATATTATGAACGAACATGAGAATAACGTTAAACAAAACTGAGTAATTAACATAATGAGTGCCAATCATGCGGTGTAATCAGCGAGTAACGCGGAAAACTCTAGAGGAAGTTGTCCACGAGGCGCGGAGGCTGCCCCGTGCGTTGCACCGCGCACCCGGCCTCCAGCTCTCGCTCGGTAGTCGGTACTCTTGCCCCACTAACATAAAAAAGTTTCTCCTTAAATGTAGTAACTACTGAACTAAGCTGCCGATAACAAGAATGAATACCTATTGAATTATTGAGCAGTTCCATGCAACAAACTGACCATAATTACACACCTTTAGGGTACGTGGTTATAGCTTGAGAAATCGCATTTTATATCTATACTAAATATCTATTCTGTTAAACCAATAATATTAAGAAATTACTTTGTATTTCAAATTTGGATTTACTGTTCCTGACCTAAATGTTAAATACACGGATAAGAAGTGGTAATTATTAAATTTAATTTCATTAGTAGACAAGTCTAATGTCGCAAAGCTATCTGCAGGTCTAGACAAGCTTTCATATACCTAATATCAATCTTAATGTTGTTGTTACTTAACAGAACGAATTAGAATGATTTTCAAATAAGATATCCATGTCTTTATTAGTAGCAAATTCAAAAACGGTACTTAAAATCACTTTCCAAAAACGATTCTAAAAACCCATTTAAATACAATCAAATCACTTTCAAAATACTGTTAATAATTTGCTATATACCTAATGTTTTCTCTTTGTAGGTATTTTTTCAACAATATACAATTGGATAGTGGAATCCAAATCGTCGTGGTTTGATGGAAGCTGGTTTTCTGACGAAGTTACGCCAAAGAGACCGGTGACTACGACGACCGTTCGGCCGCTGACGGCTGCACCCGGCAGCTGGTTCCAAACGCTCCTGGATAGTGAAGACGGTGATGGAGCATACGTCACCAACGATGTTCCTATTAGTAAGAAACACATTTTTTGACATTGATTCAAACGGTGCACTATACAAAATTAAACTATAGATCTTACCACCAAACCCTCAAGCCCATTTTTATTTATTGTTCATTACTTTAAATAACACAAATAAATTCAATAAATACGTCAATAAAAGTAATCAAAAACAGAAAAAATAAGCCTTTTCAGGCGGTTGCTGTTTATTTTATAAGTCAGGCAATAAACCAAAGTAAGTGAATAGACCGTAAAACTTTCTCGTCATATTATCAAACATCTTAAATCTCGTTTGTTTATGAAGGTTGCCTATCTAGCAGCTTAGGGAATTTACCAACTATTGATTTAACAGCTTTCATCTTTATTTTTGTAGATGCATTTTATTAATGAATAAAACCAACTATAGCTACATCACATACACACCGAAGGTTAATGTTAAGTTAACGGTTTCAAAATGAATTCATTTACGATACCTACCAACGTTAGAGGGTTTTATTAATTTACTTAATTAGGAGTGCTAATGACGTTCTAGTCTGGTAAACCGTACTATATTTTGGTTCATGGTAATAAGTTGTGAACTATTTAGTAGTAAAATAATAGTTAACTGCACATCTGTATTTAAATGAATTATAAATTCTATTCTATGACGCACAAGTCATAATTTACTTGTGTATGTTTTAAAATGCGTCCAGACAGCGTGACGCATACGTATTGCGCCTCATATGTCTATAAAACATAAGCAAAACAGTACATGCATTAGTAACTTATGCCTAGACTCTGTATTCAGTAATTATGGTTTCATGTTTTGGTCTAAGTATTAGAAAAGCTTGACAGTAATGAACGAAGGTCACTATGCCGACCTAAGATTTTTAAGGCCCAGACAATAAATAACACCGTTTGCTACTTTCTAGAGTCACTGTTTTTACTATTGTAACTTTCACACATTTTTATGTGGCTCTGACTTGCGAAAAAAGAATTATAATTGGCGTTTTATTCGTACTCTAGAAAAATCTGCAAAGAAGTCGTTAAAGAAGACCTACAAAGGATTCCAACTTTTAAGAACATATCCCGACGTTCAATGGAAGGTGCATGAAATGCTGGACTTGCAGGAGGAGGCCCAGGGTTCGGGACTTATGTGGTGGACTCCACCCTCACTTAATGGCTCTACAGACTTGCTTGTTCCTCCTGATTTGCTCTCAGACGTGAAAGACCATCTCAAAACAAACAAAATCGACTACGATATTATCATTTGGGACTTACAGGTATGGATGAGATGATAATAAATATTATTATTGAGTTTTTTTTATTATTGCAAATTTAATCTATTTATAATTTCATAGAAAGCGATAACCTACGAAAATCCACGGCTGTCAAAGAAACAAAGACTTGAGTTAGAACAATTGCGTGGTCATCCGATGACTTGGCGACGATATCATCGATATGCAGACATCCTCCGGTATTTGGAATATCTACAGCACTCACATTCAGACTTGGTAGAGCTCATTCCGCTTGGTGTATCGTCAGAAGGATTACCACTTATTGCAGTAAAGGTAATTTTCAATCTTTAGAACATATTTAGTCATCATTAAGCATCTTTGGTTACATTCGTGACTTGTGATTTATACAGGTTTCATTATCTGTTAACGATACTGTGATAAAAGGAAAAGAGAAAAAGAAGTGGAAATTGCGCTCGCGTATGAAACCTGCAGTATGGGTGGACGGAGGGTCTCATGCGCGAGAGTGGATAGCGCCGGCCGTCGCTACGTGGATGATACACGCGCTCGTCGAAGGAGAGAAAGACCAAGGTTTGATAATATAGCATTTTTCGGAAATTTCACTAATTCTTACATAAACATCTCCTTCATAATCATTACGAATGATATAAAAGTATTATAAATAAATATAAAATTAATTAACATTTATTATGCAATCGGAGAGCAACTTTCTCGAGCGAATTGATATTTTTGTTAGTAAACTTGTTTGTTCTATAAACAGGATCGGAGTACGACTTACTCAAACAAGCTGACTTCTACATCATGCCGGTGTTGAACCCGGATGGTTACGAGCACTCACACACTCACGACCGGCTTTGGAGGAAAACGCGTTCACGGCAGCCCGACCACTCCGATGACTACTATGTAGGATGGTGAGTTAATATTTTGTAAATAATTAGTTAACCACCCTTACCGTTACCTGTAAAAAATTAAAAACACTTAAAACCATTTTTTATTTGTTATAATATTATTCATTCACACTAATAGGTATCTAACGAAAAACTTGCATTTCCTAAATAGGAACGTGGCCCCAGAGGTATATAAATCCAGTTAAGTTTTTACGGCAGATTTGTAACAAAAAGTAAAATACAAAAACTTGACAGTAGGTAAACCTCTTTTGAAAGCATCCATCTATTGGCGACGCGACGGCGACGTGACGGCACATTGACCACTTACGCTTTACCATTAGCTAGCACATCTCACTTATGGTCCACTTTTTTATGAAAGAAAAAATGTAATGAAATCATTAGTAACGAACGCTTTGAAAGGTATTAATTTTGGAATATTTTTGCCTTTGTAAAAAAGTTAAACTCGTTGATCGAGTGGTCGCAAGCGCAAGTACATCTGCCAAGTAAGAGGCATTTGGACTAATTCCCAAGTCGGGCAACGTATACGTAATTGATTTTTTTCACGAAGTTTGGAATTGTCGGTTTATGGTAATAGGCTGATTCCTAACTGGTGAAGAATAGGTGTTAGGCATACCTACATCGAGTACATCGTTTATTACATGAACCTAAGTAGGCACCTCTTCGTGGACTAAAAGGGCATGACGTTATAAAGAAAGTTGATGCGTATTATAAATGGAACGGCATATACCTATTGATTAAAATGAAGAACATCCTGTTCGAAGCAAGTCAATGTACATATGTACGTACACATGCATCACCGTAACGTGAAATATTTTTATTCTTGTTGAACGCCATATGTGGTGGTGCCAGATGTTTATATCACATCTTTTTGTTTTTATTATACAGCAATAAGAGAAGTTTATAGTGAAAGCTTGCTTGTAACTCGAATGTTTTCATAAACCACGTCATCTCATCAGGTATGTGAGTCACTGTATAACAATATTTCTTTCAAATTCCTGAGACGGAAAGGGGAATCTTACGTAGAAACTTACACTTTTGTGGCTTAGACGTAGGAAGAAACTGCAGAGCTCTGCCGATCATCATGGATTACAGAAATCTCTTGAAGACATCTCGAAGCTTTTTTTATTTATTCTGTGTATATAGATAGCACTGGCCTTTTTGCGCCGTTTTACACTGTTTTTTACAAATTTTTTTTCATGTTTTGTATTTTGTAACGCTGCAGATAAACTGTTTTTTTTATTCTTCTTTGTCCCTTGTCGTGATTTAGCAACCATTTATGTACTTAATAAATCAAGCAAAAAAGTGAAAAGTGGCTTGTAAAATATGTAGTTCCTTGCATTTATTAACGATTGTGTTGGTGTTGCCATTTAATACGTAGATCCATATATGAATATGGATCCACTGATATGGTTTTGTTGGTGGATACCTATTAGGCACCCAAGCGGCCCAAATTAGGTAATACATTATCTACCAACGCCACCACTATTAATATCTCCATGAGAGTGAAATCGATTCTTAAGCTATACGCGCAGACAGTATTAGACTAATGACAATATAATATTTTACATAAAACAATGGCAAAGTCCGAAAATATTTTGCGTTATGGTTTTCGAAAATAGAAAAACTATGCACAGTTACGGTAACGCACGCAGAGTTTCACCTTACACATGCCTGCGATGCTTTCTGTTACCTATTTTTTTTATAGGTAGTAAGTATTAAAAGGAGTATTTATATAACAGTTTTGATAATCATCTTTCTTCTTCTGTTTCTATCTAGAATCAACCCTTTAAAGCTTAAATAATATGTGACTATCTACTTACTTTCCAATAAAAATACACATACGTACCTCTATAGTTAGGTACTTCAGACTATCTATCTTAACATTTTGACCGCCATTGTCTTCGTCTATGTCTGTCAAAAGGCTAAGGACCATTAACAGTTAAGCTTATTCTATTGTAATAAACCTAAAGGTGAGTTTGTCTTGCAAAGGTTTCCGTGGAACTGGGGTCAAACTGAGTGCGTGGGAGTAGACGCAGACCGCAACTGGGATTACCATTGGAGTGAAAAAGATGCATCTCTCGATCCTTGCTCGGAAAACTACGCCGGACCACATCCCTTCAGCGAACCCGAGACTAGAGCCGTGTCAGAGTTTTTATCCGCTCACAAAGGACACATAAAGGTACCTTTTTGACTAATATTAAATAGCCACTAATTTATGTATTAAGCTACTTTTCAGTACCATGTGTTTGAAATGGTTCACAAACATAAACAGACTGTGTTTTCGTCTCACATTTATAGCGAGACACACTTTGACATTATTGATCAATTTTCAAAGAATCAAAGAACAGTTTTTGAGGACGTTGCTTGTCACTTTATTAACATTCAAATATTAAGTACTTATGTTTAACTTATTTATGTTTAGGTATTGGAATTGCTCATTTTAATGACCGTAAAAGTTTCACATCTATGTTCCTAAAGCTCGATTTGAATTCAAATTCAAACTAGTTATCTTGTTTTCTATCTCCGTGTGTTTATCGCGTGACGGATGCACACAACGATATAAGTCATTATAGGTACTTATTAACCATTTACAGTGTTCATGTAAATGGATAATTAGTACTTATAATAACTGAGGGTAATGTTTTCTTCGTATTCGTTTTCACTTCGGATCTTGTTAGTTTACAAACTTTAAGTAGAGGTAATATTACCTAAGACTATTATTACCTTCTTCAATTTCTTACTGGCCAAGCAACTGAACTGAACTGACTTTAAGCAAATTGTTCACGTTTATACTTGTTGATTCACTATGCTGCCAATTTTCGACAGCGGAGTTGCATTGCGAGCAGTTCGGCCATCACATACTCAATGAGTGTGGTCTCTAGCAATATGAACGTAGCGCTATGTCAGTAACTTAATTCTTTCGTCAGGTGTACTTTACTATATATGGACCTGGTGGAATCTAGAACAAATTTCCGTGCGTTTAGGTATTTTTACCATACCTTTTATTTAGACTATCTACCTACTTAACAAGAAGCAAGTTTAACAGGACCCACTTCGTTTTTGGTTAAATTTCCGTGGTGCTTGGCGACTTGGCTTCTCCCAGTTGTAGTCTCCTTTTACCCTCTTAGGCTTAATTCATTCTGTCCCCTTTAGTAATTCACCGAAGGTAGTTGATACTATCGGTTTTTTTCTCCTTCATAATATCTTCCCATTTATTTCGTTGCGAGAATCAAGACGGAGGTGATGAATGATGAATCAAGAAGTGTTTTCATGGTTGTAGAGGTATATCTACCTACTGGAGATCCTGGCTTACAGGATTTGAAGGTTTTTTGAAGGTTGTGGCGAACTTGTCCTAAAAAAATTATTATTAAAAAGACTGATTAGGCTAGTTATCTATCTACCCGTTTGTCGATCTATGGCATGAAAAAAGATAAGTGATAATAAAAGATCTAGCTGTTTGCTACTTCTGAACTGGTACGTACCTAGCAAGCATTTTTACTAATTAGGTACGTAGTTCGCACTTTCACATCATTTCCATCCCCAGTACGAGCCGATTCATGATATCCCAAGAATCACAACACACTATGATTTGAAAATGTAAACCCATATAAAGTAAGTCTACTCATAGATACATAATCGAGTGGATATGCACCAAGTCCTTTCTATTTCTAATTCGTAAGTTGACTCAATTATGTTAGCAAAACCATATTTCAAAGAAATACTGATATAACATTTCCTTTTCAACTAAGTATACTTAGATACTTATTTGAAAGTAAAGTTACTCACACTGGGGTCACCTTATGACTGTAAGCAGCCACGGTTACACTTTAGTCTAACTTTTAGTCACTGAATAGAAATCAGAAATGGTTTGCTCCGCCTTTAAGTATGGCAATTTATCATTCGCTCAAAACCGTAAAGGTAGACCGCACGTCTATCTCGGGAAATTGCGACAGTGTGCCCACATCGTTACTTTCAAAACATTTTCTACCACACTTTCAAAATGAACACCTTAAAAGTACTGATATTCAAGATTGTAATACGTTGTAAAATGCGGTTTCTTTCTCGGTTTAAGAGTAATAAGATTTAAATGTATAGTTCCGCTACATCTACCGAAGTATTTAGACTATTCTGTCGACTGGCACATACTTAGGTATGTGTTTACGAAGTAATATCGGCTTTTGTCTTAGTGACTATCTTCTTATCGTTTTCAAGCTTTCTTCTTTATTGTGAAGATGTATTAGGTTTAGAGTCTATTAATTGCAATAAAAAATAAAGTACAAGTAACTAGGTAATCAAATTAATAGATAAATCTATCCAAATATAAGAAATAGAAACAGATATGATTTTAGCTCCCACAAGTAGAGATGGTATAAGGTATAACAATAGGTAGGTGGAGAAGTAACTGCACCACTTGCCATCTAGTGCAATTCAGTGTTTGCATTTTGCCAGCGATGACGATGACTGATTAAGATCAGTTATGTGCACAAACAGATAAATCTTGTTGATATAAACACATCAACATTTAAGTAGGCAGTTACTTAGCGTAATTATCTCATAAAGCTAACTAAGTATCGTGTCTAAGTAATGGATCGCTTTCCTTAGCTGTACCTGTCGCTGCACGCGTACTCACAAGCCTGGTTGATGCCCAGCTCACACACACGTGAGTCGTTCGCGGACGACGGCGTCCTCGTCGAGATGGGCAAATTGGCAACCGTTGCACTTGCGGACTTATATGGAACAAAATATCAGGTAATTATGTTACAAAAATACCATTACCTGATGTATTTACTTAAAATAATAAAATATATTGCAAAATTCCATGAGGTGTCATTTTTTTACGACGCATCGCCAATATTGGAGTGATTATTCTGATCCGAAACTTAAATATAAGTAATATGACTCAGACAAAGAATGATGATGATGAGATAAGTATGTACATGATGGTATATTAACGTGTGTTATGTGCCTCACGTAACAAACACATCAACAGCCTATGGCTGGTTTTACAGTCACGCCGCTAGACGCGCCGTTGGACAGCGCGCTGTTGGACAGCGCGCGTTTGAACAGCGGTGCACCATAAAACGACATTAGTACGGCGCGTTTCGCTGCTGTGAGACAGTCGTGTACAAACAGATACAAAATGAACGGCAATGCGGTTAGAGTACTGGCTATTTACTTTTTATGGAAAAAAAGGCAACAAAAACGTCGAAGAACAGTAGGTGTTGATCCTTATAACGCTACAAGGTTACTGAGAGGCGAACACGTAACATCTTTCTCTGATTTACGAGAAAATAGTTATAAATTTTATAAATATTTTCGCCTATCAACCAGCAGTTTCGACGAATTACTGTGCAAGTTAAGAGTTTTCTTTACGAAGATCCAGCATACGTCGCATCCCCATAATTCGCACTTCGTCAATTACTCGACCCGTATCGATGTGATTCATTTTGTATACAACAGTACCTAACGGCACGTCTCAACGGCGTGAGACTAAAACGCACAATGGCCGTAGAAGCGCACGAGCGGCGCGCGCTTCGACCGCGCCGCGCGAATAGGACGCGTTCAACGAACGGCGCTGCTCAAGCGCGCGAATTTGAAACGCTACTAATACCCCAATACATATCCGAGCGCGCGCGCTCCGACGGCGCTGCCGAAACGTGTGACTGTAAAACCAGCCTAAAAGTGGCCACTGCTGACCAAAGGCCTCTTCTTACACGGAGGTTTGAGCATTCGGGTTGGCGATTTCAAACTTATAATTAGCAATTATAAGTCCAGGTTTCCTCACGATGTTTTCCTTCACCGTTTGTCAGTGGTCTCTAAATAAACTTAGAAAGTACATATAACTCGGTAAAATCCACAATGGTACCTACTTACTACTATGCATGAGGAGCGGGTGTCTTAGACCTCCGAGCCTGCGCGACATTTTACGCGTTATGTGCCCATAAGCAATAAATTGTTGACATAGCTACCTACTAAAAAAATAAACTGCCAAATGCTATAAGTAACTTTTTTTCGTAAGTAAAGCGCTGAAACCTATTCATTTTCATTTTACTGCACAGTTGGTGCGGTGGCTGGGCAACCGGCTGCCGTGTGTGGGGCAACGGTTTTAAAAAAAATTAAAAAAAAATTAATGAAATATATTATATCGTGTTTCAGGTCGGCACAGCAGCTGAAATACGACAGCCTGCTTCTGGGATGTCGCATGATTGGGCTAAAGCCCGAGCTGGCATCAAATTTTCGTACCACGTGGACTTGCGAGATTCCTTCGGACCTTATGGTTTCTTGCTACCAGGCTCCCAAATAGTATCCACGGCCCGTGAGACCTGGCAAGCTGTCAAAGCAATTGTAGATAATTTATCTGTAGCTTAAATTTTAATCAAAATTACATTTAGATAAATTGAAATTTTATACGCCTCGCCAGTTGCTCAATTAGATATAAGTAGGTAGTTTAGATATTAGAAATATAGAATACAAAATTATTTATTTAATTAAAATTAATATTTATTTTATTGCCATAACGTGTATGTCGCAAAAAGAGGTACCGAGAATTAATTTGCTCAAAATTAAACTATATTTTTATTACATATTTCACTGTTTTTAATACTTAGTAGTTAGTAGGTACCTGCCTATCTATGAGCAGAGGTTAATTTATTGAGAAAAAAATAAGATACCTAACTAGCAAAAAATTTATAATTTTAAAAATCTTTCTGTTTGGGACATTGCAAGCAGACCATTTTTTTTTACTTAGGTTCCTACTTCTTTACGCGTTTGTAAACTTTATGCGTTTGTATTTAGAAAGGAATGATGCATTTATTTAGTAAGTAAAGTAGCTCAATGCTGTTGTAGTGTATTAGTGGATGCTGTGATTGCTGTGGATGTTTTAGAATTTATTTATTAATTACTTTCTACGCCAACTTTAGTTACTTGGGATCAGCACAATAGATATCTATATCGTACCTCCGGTGCTATAACGTCACTTACGCGGGGGCCCGCGCGCAACTGAACAATGAAACGTTGTTTCTCTTGCCGTCCAGAGGTCTTAGTACGAGTTTCTTTTACGTTTAAAGTAAACGTAACGAGTACGCATTCGGCGCTGTGATTGGCCGGCTCCAATGAACAAACCAATCAGGAGCACAGAACGCCGTCTCGTTTCGATTATTTTAAACGAAAAAGAAACTCGAACTAGGCCCTCAGATTAGCGCCAAAACCATAACGACAGTAATGCCCTCACAATGACAGTTTGCGTACTACACAAATGACAATAACGCACCGAGTAAAGGCGTGAATTTGGAGTATTCTTTCATAATTTGCATAAGTGACGATATTGCACCGTAGTTACGATATATATTTCTTCCGTGCTAGTGCGTGATACAATTACTTACCTATAGCCTACCTAATCTATAAGTATCTGTCTGATGTTATCGCACTAGATTCGAATATTTTGACGAGTTTGTTTTTTTTCTACTGCATTTCATGAGGAGGTCAAGTATTCTAAAAACCTATTGATGAAATATGATTCGAAGTTGACAATACATATATAATATATAAGTCGTTGTAGATACCCAGATTAAATAAAAATATTTAAGTTACTCTTGACTGTCTTTCATTAAAAATGCATTAAACAAAAACAGTTTAGGATAACTTGGGGTGTGTGTCCTTAGGTATACTTCCATAATGTAGGTTCCTGGAGGAATGTAATGGAGAGGCAGTGACGTAGACAGGCGTAGAAAATTTGGGCTCTAGCCTCACACAGGGTTCCAGAGAGGCTGTGTAATTTACCCACTAGACATAGGTACATTTATGGAAAATTAAAATAAGCCGACTTGGGCAAGTTGAAGACGCGGCCTAATATTAATAGGCGTAATAATTGCGGCCTAATAATATTAGAGTGCACACCACTGTGGGTAGGTTTCATTCGGAACGTATACTGGAATCAGTACTATTTTTATAGCATCGATCAAGCAAGGAATACTAAGTAGGTACAAACACGGTTTTAGGTCATTTTCTGTAGTACGTTCTCATTAACTTCTCGTTTTTGTTTATTTATAATATTGCCTCTTTTAAAATTATCTAGTATAGAAAACAAACTAAATAAGTAACGGCTTTTAAAAAAAAATGTTGTGCCACTACGATTTTCTCCTTTATCAACATAACACAACATTTATCCCCGAAGGGGTAGACAGAGGTGCACATTACTTGTAGCACTAAATGCCACTGTACAATGTAACACCCACTTTTCACTATTTATGTTATGAGTCCCATGTAATAGGGGGTGAGCCTATTGCCATATACCGGGCACATTTTCAGACTCCGTGCTACTACTGAGATTTTTAAAAACCCAGTAATACTTTGCCCGACCCGGGAATCGAACCCGAGACCTCTTGACCAGCAGTCGCACTTGCGCCCACTCGGCCAACGAGGCAGTCGTTTATCATTATATGGAAATTTAAAAAAAATGTTAAGTAAACAGAAGTACCTACATAGAGTGTTGACAAATATTAGATAACTAGCTTTTGCCCGCGACTTCGTCCGCGTGGAATAGTGACTTCCGGCAGATTTTTAGTTCTTCCCACATAGTTCCCGTTCTTGCGGGATTTCCGGAATGGTCGAGTTCCCGCAGAATTTTCAGGATAAAACCTGTTTTTTTTCGAGTTTCAAAATATATCTGTACAATTTTTAAAGTAAATTAAATTATTTTAAAGAACTTCTGCATAAACTAATTTTTTTGTTTTAGTATCTTGTGGCAGAAGAACATATTGATTTTCGCCACAACCCGATCTTGATAACGCGACATATAACTGGCCGTGCGAAAAACAGTCTTGGCGTAAATCGATCCCCACGTGTTTGAATGTTTGCCCCTGTGATTTACCTATTTATTGTGACTGCGAAAGATAATTTAAGCGGAAATCGTATTCTTTTAAAATTGAAAGGTAAGTCGTTGGGTATCATTGGGATGCGGGGTATGAGGACTGTTTGACCAACTGCTGGACCAGTCAAAACTATTGCAACGATGACGTTATTGCGCAGAAATTTTACTTGAAGTCGGGTCCCGTTGCATAAATTTAGTGGTTTGAGATTTCTTAGTAAAATTATTGGGGAACCTATTTTTAACTTATGAGAATGTGAGGGAAGGCCGCTTGGGTTCAAGGAATTGAGGAACTCCTGTGGGTAATGAACTACATCTTCTTGATCCATCACGGTATCAATGGATGTGTAGGTCACAATATCTCCTGGGAGTTTACTCAAAATGATATCATTTATTTCGTCAACGCTACTATTTCTTGCCGCCAATATTGCTCTTTGACACATTCATTGATGGTCCTTGTTTTCTATTTGGCTGATGTCAGGGTATACCTTAGTTACTAATTCCTCGATGTTACCCACTTTTACTCCTAAATAGCAATCAATGTTAATTTTTTTATTATAATGAGGTATTTTCCCGTCTCATAGAGAAAGTAATTTACAACTTAACCAAATTATTTGGACCAAATTAGGTACCATAAAAACGGTTTTTGTGAGTTAATCTTAAAAGATAGACATATACTGTCGCGGACTTTTTTTTAGACCATTAAAAGAGCTATTATTCTTTAATACATATTTTTGTGTATCTTGAACCGTTTTCACAGCGCACGGAACGGAAGGCTTCAAAGATGAAATAATTTCCCCCGTTTTTTACACATTTACCTCTATATCTTTGCTCCTATTAGTCGTAGCGTGATGTTATATAGCCTATAGCCTTCCTCGATAACTGGACTATCCAACACAAAAAGAATTATTCAATTCGAACCAGTAGTTTCACAGATTAGCGCGTTCAAACAAACAAATAAACAAACTCTTCAGCTTTTTAATATTAGTATAGATGATTCTGTGTTCTACTGTACCTATAGTATGTAACAACAAAATGTAAATAAATAGATTTTTAATTTAAAACGTATTTTCATTAATTTTAGCCTACATGCCTCTCCCTACAAATTCTACAAATATAGATTGTTAACTATATCGTTCGTTAATCGACGGCTTGCAAGTGCAACTGTTATGTGAAATAAAGGCAAGTTCAGTTCCTGCTTCCTAATCGAGTAAAGTAAGTATCATTATCGATGGCTATTTCTACCCATTTCTACCTTTGTAAAACGTAATACCTTTACACCTTAACAGTGCTTTAGACCACCGATACTTCGCTTTTCAAGTCTATACTCCATGGTTGGTTTACTGTCTATTTGACATTGACATTTCATTCAATAGAGTCATGTCAATTGTCAAGATTTTGTTTTGACAATAACGTATTTACTATTTATTTAGAAATTTAGAATTGCATCTACTAGACTAAACTTTGATCTTAACATTCGCAATAGCGAAACCCAAAAATAAGGAAAATGGTTGATAAATCAGAGATTGTACTGCAACCTAAGGAGATAAAATCGTCAAATTTTGAAGATACCGTAAATTCTATACTGTGTGGGTTAGGCGCTCAAAAATATATCGAGATATTCAAGTAAGTCATATAACCAAAGTGGATGATTTATTTTACTAAAATACTCTTACTAACATTAATTTATTTACACACAGAAAACAAGATATTGATCAGTATGGATTATCGGAATTGTCAGACGAGGATCTCCGAAAATTAGGTATTGTTGAACCTGAAATAAGGAACCAACTCATTGAACGTGCCAAATTGCTACCTGCATACGAAGAATCTCAAGCAATAAGGTAATAGAAACTTAATAAATAATTTTAATACTTCTAAATTAATTATTATTATAATTCACTTGAATATTTAATGTTCACTTCTATTTTTTTAGTACTGTTGTGTTGTATGTTATATCTGACTTTATATACAATTAAAACATAATAACTTTCGGCAGGATCGCTACTTTGGGTCCAATGGAAATGGTTGAAGTTTTCGAAGAATGTGCTTTGCTACTCCATAGGATACATCTTAGCATGGTAGCCAGTAATGCAGCACTGAGTAAATCTAAGAAAGTTTCGGATTGTTTGCTATATAAAGATAAATATGCATCTAATGTAGCTCTGGCCACATTAAACGAAATTAGTAACATATTAAATTCTATGGAAATTGCAGTAAACTCAAAATTCAAGGTAAATTTAAGTTGTAATGTGTCCGCTTTAATTATCTTTTCTTCTTTGAAAATGAAATTGTCCAAGTAACATTTATTTTATTATTTCCAGATAAGAAAGGCAAAAAACAATAAGAAAAAGAAAATTTTAGTTGGAACCATTGGAAGTGCTGTGATTGCTACATTGGCAGTTCTATTCACTCGGTCCTTGAAACAACTCTGAAATGTGATCCAGAACTAATCATACAAATTACCTTCTAGCTTATGTGTTACTGTAGTCCAGTATTTTGATTGGATATTAAATTATTGTGAAAAAATAATGTTGTTTTTTAATACCTATCGCAACGGCATTTCTAATTATTTGATATTCTCTCTTAGAATCATAGTTTAGAATTATAATTATCATCATTATTGCGATAGTAAAGCTTGAGTAGATCAACACATGGTAATACAACAAAAACACTCAATCATAATATTCTGAAACGCTGTCAGCAATTTAATAGCTATATTTACATGCTCAGTCAGCCCGGCACTAGTGCTCATAAAGGCATAAGGGCCAGTGCAAACCGGAAATACCGTAAACTACCAGAAATAAATGCTTTCCATTTTGTTCAGTAAATAAATCCAGATGAGGTGACCCAATTGTTTTGACCTCTCCCAATTAAAAAGTGTAAGATAAATGATGATTCGGCAGGCAGGGCGGGCGTGACGTCACACGCGGGGACAGGCGGGCGCTCCGGAAGCATTCGGGGACCGCGCACGCCGGCCGGTAGCGAAGTCCCGCACTCCCTGGACCGACGATATCGTTATTGCGGCCGAGCGCGCCAATTGAAACGCGTGTCCGTTGCGCCCAATCGGGCCGTGCCCTCTTCGACTTGTGAAATTTCAAACTACGAATATTTTGTAATGTGCATTTTAACATAATTTTAATATTTGTGTAAAAATGAATAGTTTTATATATTCAACGGTGATCGTTTTATTATTAAACAGTTTATGTGCACAAGAAATCTATGAAAAAGGTAAGTACCTGCTTACATACTACTTTAGTGTGAATAGTTTTTAGAGTATCAGGTATTTCCCTAGTTAATATTAATATTGCCAGGGGGGTAAATAAAATTAAAATAATTTCAGTCATAAATAAAAAGGATGATTTTTTAGTCACTTGTCAATATTGCACCTGAACTTATAAGAAATTATTTAGTTATCAACGCGAGGTAAATTTTTCAATAATGTAAGTAAGTAAGGATAAATGAAGGTGATATAGTTTTGTGGTAGAACAGCGAGTTACTAATTACAAAAGAAGGTATTTAGACTATTTAAGGGGCATTTTTAAGAGTCCAACTGGGCTGATTTTTATTAATTAATACTATTACTATTTCTCAAATACGCTTGCTTGCATCGACCATTGTTTTTGTTTCTGCATAAATCCCAAAGGTCTGGCTGGAAGAGAATGCCCATGGCATTAAGCCCGGCTTGAACACAAATATATGCATGAAGCCTTTCAAAATAAAATATTATATTATCTACTTATAATTATTCAACGCGACAATAACCATGACTAGATGCTAGGAAAGATAGCCGTGAGGTGCAAGACTTGCATACATAGATACTTATGGAACAACTTGCAGTTGATCGATCTTATTACGGCGCTTAGCTGTATTACCTACTTAACTGCTTATTCTATTTTATTCGCTTTCCTTAGTGGATGCTGTGTTGGGACAGAGTGTGGAACTGCCATGCAACGTGACTTCGGAGAAAAAGAACGACAAACTCAATATACTCGCCTGGTACAGAAATGGTTCGACTACAGCATTTTACAGGTAATTATGGATTCATTATGAAAACACTAAGTCAAGCTATTTTATTTGTGACTAATTGACGAAAAGTAATATACCTACCTATCTACCTAGTTAAAATTCGTGGTCAAGTGAATGAATTGTTTTCATCCAGTATCACTTATTGGCTGGCGAAGGTCTCGATTTCGATCCTCAGTCAGTTCTCAGTTGGCTAAGTATGATTGCGATTTATTCATTTACCTACTCTCCTGCCGTTCAATTGTTATTCATGAACATTATACTCTAGGTAGGTTCAATCACCCATTAGCCGCAAGGGATCTTGGATTCGATTCCCGAGTCGCCTAAAGTGTTACTGAATAGTTTTAAGCGTTCCTCCTCTACCTACTCCTTCGGAAAAGGTAACGGATGATAAGTTTCAACTCAAACATTTGGGATTTCTGCTAATAACTGAGTACCTAGGTATATGAGGTAGGTATGAATTTACTTAATTGCCTGCTCTACTTGTAAAGACGACCATTAAAGTCGTTTGTCTCAGCAGTCGCGACTTACGCCACGGAGACAAGAGTACCACATCGTCAGGCAGTCGGTACCGGCTGGTGACGGGAGAAACCAAGGGGGAGGATAAGTTGCAGATAGTCAACGTGCGAGCCTCTGATGCAGGATTGTACACCTGCCTCGCAGACTTCGCAGCTAGTCCCGCTTACAAAACTCACGTTCAACTAGCTGTCATTGGTGAGTGCCATTAACGAACCCAGTTTGCTTATCGGAATAGACTTTAAAATGTACGTCACTATCGAGTTCAGGCGAGCATTGACATAGATTAGCTCTAAGGTGATGTATGTAAATGCGCCACTGTCTGTAGATAGGATAAATTGTATGCTAAAGATTATAATTGTGGTTATATTTTCGCTAAAGGTATTTTATGCCATGTAATAAATAAGGGGTGAACTGGACACAATTAAAAAAATTACAAATTCGGTGCTATTACTTACAATTTGTCATGACATTGATACCCTAGACCCCAGTAGCTCGGTAGTCGCGGTTGCAACCATTTGACCAAAACAACGGAGTTATGTAAATAGTTGCACATATTTAAAACGCTAAGTTATAAGTATATTAACAATTTCATAGGTTGGAAAAACCTTAGTTCAATTCAACAAGATTATACATACGGAAAGACGGAAGTTTCTGAATTATCGTAACACACGGAATGAACTGTTAACTTCTTTATTCGCTGATCTCCGTGGCATGTGACTGCAATTTGCTCATGCATTTAGGTGACTAAAGGATAAGTGTGAACTATAGCAGATAACTCATGTATCAGGTGACTCATACACTTTCGACTCATCGTGCGTGATATCTGGAAGGTATTATTGCCTTATTTAAGCGATTTCAAATGATAACAATGACTTATTTTTATGTAAGTTTGCGGGTACAGTTTACAAAAGTTTTAGATTCTCTCGAAATTAAAACAAAATGCAACACAGCTCTTCAAAATGTTCGTTTTAATAAAACATTTCAACTGCAGCGAGTGCAATAGGTATGTTTACTTTAAACCTTCATTTTTTACATGAATCGAACAAAGGCAGTGGTAACGAGCCAAACTAAAATTCACCTATCCTGCAGAATAGCGGCGGTTCAGTTAATTGGTCCGCGAGGCTAATGAGGAAGCGGACAGCGGAACTGCTCCATTTATTAAACAATTGCGCGACGTAAACATTACATCATTAATAGTATACAATAATTAGCTGCGTTACTAACTTAGGCTATTTTAGGAATAGAGATGAGTGTACGACTATCAAGTTACATTTTAATCTAACCATACTTATGTTAATTACCATAGAAGTCCGGTTAAAAATAACTCCTGCAAGGTCTACCTACAACGATTTTGAGTCGGACTCTTAAGTCACACTCTAAGAATTTCAATCCACTTTAAAAATACTTTAAAAAAAATAGAAACATATCAAATAGAAAAGCCGAGCTGTATTAAACATCCATTGTTATTTTAGAACCACCACGGCATCTATGGGTGGTACATGAAAACGGCACACAAGTGGCAAAGGCCAGTGCCGGTTCCAACACGAGCCAAAACGTGGGACCTTACTACGTGGGGGACACCGTTCACCTTGCTTGCGTGGCCTATGGAGGTAGGTAACATTGTATGATAGAAACAAAATAAATGAAAACATGTTGACAGTTGTCTCCATAGGGGATTCAGATTATACATAGTTTTGCTTGATCCTTAACAGGCAAGCCACTAGCTTCATTGTCATGGTGGACAGACCAGCGGTTTTTGAAGAATACTCTGACGCCACTGTCGGAGCATCGTGTGCGCGGTGACCTGATATACGGACCCTTACAGCGAGAAGATCATGGCAGAGTCTTCACATGTTTAGCTAAAAATAACGAAATAATCGCACCACTGTCTATAGACATCACCATAGATATGTACTGTGAGTAACCGTGACTTCTTGTCAATATTGTCTAAGTATTTTGATAACACTTTGCCCCATGTCAAGACCGTCTCTTATGTCTTGGAAGCGTTTACCTATAGTCGTCATCTTGCATGAAACTCTGGGTGTAACTCGTATCCCAACTGGAACAAGTGAATTGACAACTGAGCAAAATGGAATTCACCACTACTTACTCATTGCGCGGTTTCGCAGCAGCCGGTCAAGAATCGTACCTACAATCATTTACCGATTAGAGCTTTTGTATCTGTGTATTTGTATGGATACATAAAATAAATGATTGTTATTAAAGTGCCGCCTGACTTGGTGTCCCTGCGGAGCGAGGGTCCGGACTCGGATGGGTCGACGGGACGGGTGCGCGCGGGCGAGGCGTTGTCGCTGCAGTGCCGCGTGCTCGGCGCGCGCCCGCTGCCGCCCATCGTGTGGCGGCTCGCCGACAATCAGCTGCTCAACTTGGAACAGAAAATTACTGTGAGTGACAATTGACATGCCTGTTTGATGCGTTTATCTACTTGTCTGTTAGTTGATTTATTCTCTTGTTTTGGTTCCTGGTTATTGTTGGCTTGAAGTCTTGTTACTGATAAAACAGTTCTGTTTATTTACAAATATTATAATTATGTCATTGTATTTGGGATTACTGTTTACCGTCAACCGAATGCACATGCAGGTTTCGACTACCTACTTTACCGTTGACGTAAAAACAATTCAGTTCGACACATTAAACAAATGAGTTGGCGCCGAAGCATTAAGTACGTAAGTACATTAATCGTAATAATTATCATTAATTATTTTGTATCATAAAACAGATGGAGCCCTCACAGCGGCTCGTGGTAAGCGACATCCAGCTGACGATAGACCGGAAGTACGATGAGTCGCACATTACGTGCTGTGCGCCCGCGCACCGCCGCAACTCGGAACAATTCGTATGCGCACAGCCACTACCCCTCACCGTGTTATGTGAGTCATTCCTTCAAATTATATTGAACAGGAACTGAATATGCAATCAATATGAGCATTACTTAATGAGTATACCACACAGTAAATGCTAACGATCCTATAGTGTTTACCTAATTAACTAGTCATGTAATACTTACAGATCCACCCATACTGGAAATCGTGGTGACCGACGCGAATGTGGAGAACAACACGGTCACAGTAATTAAAGGATCCAACTTGTCCCTGGCTTGTAGTTATCAAGCTAATCCTGATGTCTACGAACTTTTATTTTTTCATAAGGTAGCAAAGATTTTCCACTAATCTGTATACCTGCTTATCATACATGATATTTAATAAGGCTCTATTGATTTCGTGCAAAGCGGTAACTAGTCAAAGTATGTACCTAGACCTCTATGGGCTTTTCTTTTAATTCCAGGAAGATATGATAGTTAACGCTGACAAAGACAGTAAAGGAAATATTCAGCAGTTTTTAGAAATTAAAAACGTAACTGAAAAAGATGGCGGCGAGTACGCATGCGTCGCGAACAATAACGAGGGATCGACGTACAGCGAACCGATCAACATTGCCGTAATTTGTAAGACTTTTTGTTAAGTACTAATAGTAGCTAACCCGAGATCTTATACAAAGTTACAAAAGAAGGAAGATGTTCAGTAATCCTAATGAACTCCAGAGTTTCTCCCCGTGGCGTGACTGGACATGCGACCAATCAATCAGGGCCCTTGAGTGTATTTAGTCTTTGAATTAAAGTCGACTCCCCCTACTAAGTCACATAGCGTCGTCTATGGAAAGCATAAAGTATCTAAGTACTTACAAGTTCGTTCTTCTTCGTTTCCATGTTACCTTTCGATTTTGTAATCCACAGACCCCTCCTACTGCGAAGATGACGCCATAATGGAATACGGCGTTGGAGTAAATGAAGCGGTAAACTTAACTTGCAACGTGAAAAGTAACCCTGCGCCGAAATCATATCGCTGGATTCTAGTCAACGAAGCTGTGAACATTAGCACTCTAAGAAATCGTCCGCATGAGTCTATTGAAACTGAAGATTCAGTATTGTTGTATCAACGACCTAACGAAACTGATTACAGTAAGTCAGAGAAGTCACTTTTAAAAGAGTTAAAAGGATTTCGAGTTCTCTTTTTCCAAATCTTTATTTAGGGCACGTAGTTGTAACTGATACCGTATTAGTAGAACCGACCTGCTTATTTTAAATGACTAAAATGTAACTACAATAAACTCTCAATTACCATATTGAAAAAATACATTTGTTTTGTCCAGGTACAATTTTCTGTTGGGGACAAAACGATGTGCCTTCTAAAGGGTTAATTCACACCCCATGCACCTTTTTGGTGACCGGAGAGACAATACCTCGTCCGCCCACTAATTGTGAAGCGAAGAAGAATTCCGTGAATGACATCATCATCGCGTGTGAGAAAGGGCACGACGGAGGATTGCCTCAGGTAATATAGCAACTAGTACCTAATGTGTACGAATAAATAAAAATAATATGAAAGTTTTGTAAAATGCCAGAGCATGTTACCAATCTAATGTTCATCGTCAAAACAAGAAGCGATTCTGACCATTTAAAAATTTTAATAATAATTTCAGAAATTTAAATTCACCGTGCAAGCTGTGGACACTGCAGAAGAATTAGTATCAATAACTAATTTGGAACCAAAGTTCATGATACAAGAACCCAGTTACGAGAAGTATAAATTCATGATCATAGCTTTTAACGATAAAGGAGAGAGTCAAGTTGTAGAGGTTGACAAGGACAGCATAGTGAGTGAAGAAACTGGTGAGTAGGTACTTAATAGATGTTTGGGTTAAAAGAGAATTAACCTGTCGTGTGTCTAAACGTGGATCCACGCGAGACACAATGTATTTTCTATTGTGTCTCATATACCGGCATTCAGTCGGTTAAACATTTTTAAGTTAAAAATACTGCAAACTTATACTTAGGTTATAAAGAGAATCACCTCAAAATATTGATAGCTAAATTAATCGATAACTTGATTTAAATTTTAAATCGTGGGCACCTCCAAGAATACTTTCATGTTGAAAGTATTCATTTAAAAAATATGAAATACATTGAGGGAGTTTTTCTTGGAATTTTCCTGTTTTTAATAGGTACTATATTGAAATGATTTAGCTCCACCGGTGACAGTAAGCAGCGTGAGGAATATAACGACACTAGCGCTGGCTCTGTGCGGCGGCGTGGCGCTGGTGGCGCTGGCAGCCTGCGGCCTGGTGTTGTGTACGTACGAACGATCCTCGCGCCTCGACCTGCCGCGCGACCTCTCCGACCCACCGCTCTGCGCTTATAATACTGAAGGTTCGGGTTCGCATAATTGCTTCTCAAATCACGTCCTGTTAAAAAATCCGTACAATTATACATGTGATACAAAAATGATGTGGACATTAGATGCCCCACTTAGGTCTTGTTAACCCCTCGAGCGTCCTTATGAGCACCCGGTGGATCATAAGAAAAAATGCTCCATGCTGCTTTCTCTTTTATAAAATCTATTATTAATGTTCTGTTTTTATTTTGACTGTAATTTTTATTTCTATTGATGATCCTTGTTTTCGTGTGCCAATGGCCAAATAAACGCATTTCCTTTCTTTCTTTCTTTCCTTCTCCAAATGTCACGTGTGCACCCGTTGGATCATAAGGAACGCGGACGCTCGACGGGTTAAAGATGCCTATATTTTTTACATTTTCAGAATCGAACTGTGAAACATATCACGACAGCGACGAAGGCAGCGAGTGCAACGTCAGACGGACGGATTCGTTCCGGCGAGCAGTATCGAGACATTCCTCCAAGAACTTCGATGTACGACGGACTAGTTCATTTCACTCGGCGCGCTACATGCACGACGTGGCCGACCAGGACGCAGTCAGCAAGTGCAACGAGATACCTCGACACAACACCTGCAGGGTGCACTCCTTGCAAAATATTCATAGAAAGAAAGAAATGGACGCTTTATGTGATCACCTAGTGCTGCATCTACCTCCAGAAACTAATTACAACGTTCCGAAACCGGTAAATTATCTTATTTACTTTTTAAGCTTAACTTAATAAATATTATAAGACATAACAGGTATCTATATACTTGGGTTTTTCAGATGAATACATTCTACACGATGCCCAGAAAAATGCGACACAAACTCGCCAAAGAACTTAGTGATGAGACTTCCGAAATAACACAGAATTCAGATGGATTTTCGTTGCCGCCTCCGCCGGACGAATTCGGCACTTATCGTGCAGGAACCCGAATTAAGGATATGCCGACTAAGTCAACACCAACTTACACAACAGTTATAAGAAAGAATTCTACAGGGAGAGACCCCACTAAACAACAATATAATGTATCCACGATAAACACAGTGGGACTGCCTACGGTCAGTGGAGGCCAACACAGTGGAGTGTACTCTTACCCTGACGATGACCATCATCCCTCCCATCAGCAGGTAAATACAAATCCTTTCGATGAAGACTCCTCATAATCATTACCCATTTATCATTAATCTCGTACTTTTGTTAATTTAAAGGACACGCCGAGTTCTACTGGCGGTTTCCAAACTTATTTCACCCCTAGGGAATCTGGGTTGTAAATATTATTATTAATAATAATTTACGATCAATATTAACCTTTTCGCCGCCCAGCTATATTAAACACGATGTGTCGCCGTACGCCAACGTATAAATGTATAGTACGAAAGTAGGGATGGCGGTAACATCATGTCGATAATGAAAAAAAATATGTGTAAATTTAAATTGGTACTCAAATTTACAATAAAAAATACAAACTGTTAAGTTATAATGGTAATTTGTTTTATTTTATGAACATTTATACTAAGAAAAATGGGTATCCGTTATCAGAGATGAAGATACATGCATAGAGTTGCTAGAGATAATAATAATAATTCGTAACATTAGCCACTTCACTATTCATTTCATAACGTAGTCTGTTTACTTCATATCAAGTCATTGGCGTTCAAAGCACGATACATTTCGTAAGGAATAGTTGTCTATGCTTTTCTTTCTTTCTATCGAGTTTGGTTTGCTTTTGGTTTTAGTTTACATTATATTGTTGTTGCGTCAGGTCACGATCAGGAACATTGTTTGTAGTGATTAAAAGTGGCAACATATGTGTAGTTTTGGAAATGGATGGTAAGTAACTATTTTAATACAGATGTACTAAACTTTAATAGCTTATTTTTCATTTAATGCAAATGAAAAACTGGCACGTTTGATGGATATTAGGTAGTCATAAAATACCTATTACTAATACTATACTATATAATACTATACTATACCTAATACTCATCCGAATCATATTCGGTTATTTTGCACTGCACTGGGAAAGAAAAATGTGCGTGCACGCGTCGCCCGGAACTATGACACAATGACCTTGACGCCTAAGCGCTTACGACGTCACAGGTTTACTTCTATTGAAGTTGACGGCGCTAGTGTCACTCGACATCTTGCCATTACGTAGAGATGGGTCTAGCAATATCGAAAACCCTCAGTACATAATAATTAATTTTAATGAAATGATTTGATAGGTAGATGTACATTAATTTTGAAACGCATTGTAATACGTTATTTACTGACCGGAATTTCTTTTTATTCATAGAATTCAAAAAAATATTGGATGGAAAAGAAAACAAATATTATAGTAAATAAAGATTCTAATGAATGCTCCTTACGCGTCACATCACTGGCCTACTTGATATGAAGTCGTTGGCGTGCGGGATATAAAATTATTTGAAACCTTTTATGTTTTACCTTTTTAAAACAGAAAATAGTCTGTTTTGCATGAGAAAAAATAGTTCGTCGTGTCCATATTACAAAATTACAAAGAAACAAATGTTTTATGTATCGTAAATGTATTTTTTATAGTAGGTAGATACAATGAACTTCTATAGAAGTAGTGGCGTGGACGGCACGAAAATCCTGAACTTCTATAGAAGTTGTTGGCGGCGAAAAGGTTAATGTTAGATCTCACTAAGCATATCACATTCTATGAGGTACATAAATCACAAGCCGGTTCGTTCTTATATTATCGTTGTTTATTTACAAAAATAGAAATCATATTCATAGTGCCTTTTGATGCATAATCACTTATATTTATAATTATGCACATGATTCAACACATTTGTACATTTTACATAATTTTATGAGGAGAATGTTTGTATGTCACTGCCACTGCAATAATTATGTTAACAGAAAATAGTTTAATATATTAGAAAATTGTTTAATAGTAATTAATTACTGTATGACTTTTTGTATGTTTAGTTATTTATGAAAATATTAAATAAAAAATCAGTCAATAAGTGTGGTTTTTTTTTCTAAAAATTGATATTAAAACACCGAAATTTACCCAGTTATTACTCATTAGAATTTGATTCATGCATAAAAATCGTTGAATTAACAGATTATACTTAAGGCTTGCTAAGCTCTTTGATTTATATTAAGTAATGTGCACATTATATACTTATTACCAATTTTATCAACTTATATTAAAAATTACAACTAAACTTAATCCATACGGTCCAAGTGCGCCTGCGCAACTGACAGTCGTTCGATGAGACGTTGAGTGTTGGGTCGCGCCTGCAATGAGACAATACTCAATGAATACAATGATATAACTAAGTATGGTGATAAAGTTAATGTGAATTAAAATATATATGCTGGAAGATGATCTGTTCGGTGGCCCATCCCCTAAAACATACAAACCTGCAGCGCGGACAGCGCGGCGTCGTGCAGGTCCTTGCAGCGCGCCAAGGCGCGGCGGCGCGCGGGCTCGGCCAGCGGCAGCAGGTGCGCGCGCGCCGCGTCCAGCAGCGCGCCCGCCGCGCGGCACACGTGGCTCTCGTCGCCACAGCCCAGCCACACGCGCTCGTTCACACTCACCAGCCTAAACACAGTGCATATTTTACATTTTTTTTATCTCAATTAATATTTTTTTCGAGAAAAAATCTCGAATTTGTCACATTAAATCTGATCAATGAAATTTAATACTAAATCATACATACTTGATATAGATGTCCAGCACTTGTTCTAGTGAGACACCGATATTTAAAATTGTTCTAAACACCATCCCTCGGTCGGCTTGAAGCTTACAGCTCATTATTTCTAGTTGACGCACAATAAAATCTGTAAATATTTAACTGATGAGTGAAACTGAATTAAAAAATAATGGATAAAGACTATAAGAGCCAGTGACTTACACAGGGGGAAGCAATGTCCAGTATTAACATATTCCCTGCCTAAGCTAGTCAGCTTGCTGAGTACTGAAGCCAGTCTCTCGTCAGGCGTAGGTAGATTCCTAGCAGCAGCCTCAGCCTCAGCGAGGATATTACTCCATATATTCTCAACCAGGAGTGCGTCATTATGACCAGAACATTGCACAATAGCAAGCTTGCATTCCCACAGATTGTAGCGATCTGCATACTCTTCGTAGAGCTGGAAATATAAAAAGGTATTCTGTTATTATAGATCAGTTTATGTACCTATGAAAGTACTGAGATTATGAACATGAAATCTAAGACCAATGACATGTTCGCATGTTATATTTGTGAGCTAGAAGTCGTCAGCGCGGAGTACCTGCGTGATCTCGAGCAGGTCGTCGTCGAGGCGCTGCATGTGGTGCGGGTGCGGCGCGCGCGGCGCCGGCAGCGCGGCGGCGGCGGCGCGCACCCTGGCCTGCAGGCGCGCCAGCTCGCTCGCCTCCTCCAGCCGCCGCAGCAGCTCGGCGCCGCCCGCGCCGCCCGCGCCCGCGCCGCGCACGCACACCACGCCCGCCGACAGCCACGACATGCGCTGCGCCAGCGTCGCGCCAGACCTACGACCCTCAACATTACTCCACAGTTCAATTCCGACCACCTAACTATTACTAAGCAAAAGTAATAGGGTTTAAACAAAGATAAGCAAAGATTAAATTTTACGAAACAATCCCCCAATAAAGTAAACATGAAAGTCGCGCAAGTAAAGTTTCTTTTTCAACTTGTGTAGCTTCTATTTTGTAGCGAAACCGTTTACCGAAAAAAATATCATTTGTAGTACTCACCCAGGTCTAGTAGCAAGACCTTCCAGCACGTTAGCAGCAGCGAGATGATCTCCACTCTTTTCCAACACCTTCCACAACAGATCGAGCAGGTGCAGCGCAGCGCCCGGGGCTGCGGACCGCGCCGCCGCCTGCAGATATGTACGCAGGGACGCAGGGGGCGCAGTGCCCAGAGATAATAGTTCTATAACAATGTACATATGTAATTACTTTGGCATACTTATTTTAATGAACATAGTGGAAACAAAACAAGAAGCCTTCAATGTTAATACTTTATGACTTATAACAACTAGAAGTAAGTACATTACCTGATCCCAAATTTTTGGAGACTAGCCACTCGTAAACAGCGACGTGCAAAAGTTCATCATCTCGGGAGAGACATTCCCATACCAACTTTCTTCCCTGTGAAGAAAAAACAAAGTAAAATAAACTAAGTACTTTTATGACAACTAATATTAATAATTTTTAATGCCAATATTTACTTGGTAATTAGCGTCAGCAGGCGACATAGTGAGGATGTTGTCGTTACTAGGCTGGGATCGCAATGGCGACGGTTCACTGGTTGAAGCTTCTGCACTGCGCTCATACAGTCGCTCTAGAGCCGAGCAAACTTCACGGTATATCTCCATCCTAAACAACAAAACATATTGTGAAAAATGGCTACAACATTGATGTCGGTGTTGACATACAATTGAGAATGTTTCAAATTAATTAGTACAATATAAATTATTCACAATGACATTAAAAATAATAATTCGATAACCTTACCTTCTGTAGTAAATAAAGTGTCCTTCTCTGTCTTGTGAGGGTTGGTCACTCTTGTAGTAATGCACGGCTTTGTCTTGAGGATCCAATTTGGAGGCACAGGCGACACACAACTCAACAACGCCAGAGTAAAAACCAGCTGACACCAGTTTTGAGCATACCAATGGTAGATTCACATTTGGGGCTACATCCTAAAACAAAATATAGACATTTTAAAGATGTATACTATGTGTATGTGTTAAACAATATCATAGGAAGCTTATACAATACAAAAAAAAAATTAAACATTTGTTTGTAATAAAGAACTTACTTTACACAATTTGAGAGCATGCTGAAGCATTTCTTCTCTCTCAGCAGGATTCTTCTGTTGTTTTGCAAATATCAACAATTCATTGGCCTGAAATATTAAGTCGATCATATAAATACCATATTCTTACTATTTTTAACTTGTACTAAATAATGAAGGAGTTAGTAGGTCCATACCTTAGAACAAGTAGCATCTTCTTGCCTATACAGTGTCGGACAGAGTTGTCTCAATTTCTGAGAGATTCCATCTACTGACGCGTTGTCTCTTAGATAACCTGCGACTAGAGATCCGAGGAGTAGGCACGCTACTTCCTGGCCACCTACTAATAATTCCCTGAAAAATGATCACAACTCATTAAACTGTCAAACACCAAGCGGTCATCGGTGACCGCGACCTATTGTTCTTTAATTGTGTCTATAAAACCGGTACTCGACGAGTTAAATCAATTTAAAAAATCAAGAATTTTATAA